GTGCGCAGGGGGCAGTGCTCGGTGCGCATCTGCGTTACTAGACTCTGCACTCTACGACCTAACCCCCACCATGGGTCTTGTTTGCTAGGAGTAGGCAAGTTCGAATAGACGCCTCTGGCGGTCGTGTTGTCAGCCCATTGCCTGTACCACTTCTGCCTGAAGTGGTCCGCCAGCCAGTTTTTGACTCCCAAGAAAGTCATTGGTACTTCTGGCTGAGGCTGGGCTGCCCCGGTTTTCGCCAGAGTGTCAGCTATCTCATTGCCACTGATGTTGACATGCCCTGGTATCCATTGCATTTCAACCTTGCACCCTATTTCATCAAGTCTGCATATGTCGTTGTGAATGACGTCGACCAAGCTTGTGGTACCCCGTCTCTTCTCCAAGATCTCAAGAGCGGATCTTGAGTCTGAGAAGACGACAATATCGAGCCCCGCATGCTCCGTCCCTTCCAGAGTGATACGGACTCTCTCCAAGGCCTTGTGCATAGCTATAAGCTCCGCGTCAAAGTTTGACGCTGTAGTCCCACAAGGCCCGGAGGGTTTTTCATTGGGTGGTCCACCTACTGGGTACTGAATAAGCGCACCGTACCCAGCAGTTTTTCTCCTAAAGTCAGCAGAGCCTACTAAACATGTTTAATTGGAAGCCGTTAGTAAATAGATACATCAAACGAATAGGCCACGCCCACAACAAACGATACCGTCTGCTGGGGATCTAATGTGATGTGAAACAAATTTCAAAAACTGGGAAAGTATACTACATAACAATATGTTTATATACATATATAAATTATATATATATAAAAATATATTTACTTTGATATCTCGAGGGCAGTTCTATCAAGAACTTATGTGCAATTTATCGACTCTACTGATAGTTGCACTGCTTCTGCTTTAGCCAACTGGTCTCAAGTCTCAACTACAGCTTGCGCTGCAAGGTAAAATCTGTTACGTCAGTATCTGCTTAGTCATTACTCATAATTCGATAAATTTTTAGCCATTGCGATCTGTTCAACTTACGACATATCATGATTTTAGGAGACAATAAAAAATTTAACAGTCCCTACAATGGTAGGGTATACTTTTTTTTAAAACTTCTTTTACTGGAAGCCACATCTTGTTTCATATTGTAGATTGATTTTGTATTAATATAACTTAACAACTTATCAATTTAAGGTTAGATCTAGCATCCGAATTTTTTTTTTTGGTTGCTACACCAACTTTATTTTTGCTCGGCATGTCATTGTTGCAAGAAAATGAATTATCTAGTAGGAAGTTGATAACCGTTCCCATAGTTACTGATGAATATTGATAACTCTATAAATTAAAACGCATAAAACTATATATAAAACTATAAAAATCTAACTTTAACTAAGTGCTGCAAAATGTTTAATTACTTCGTCATAACGCAATACCTTAACCGAAAAGTATGGAATCGATAAAACACACAAGGTGTTCACGCAAGTAATCCTGGTCTTTTTCTAAATCAATATTATTGAATATTTGAATAACTATCAAAAGCAAATTAAAATTAACATCAAACTTGTATGAAATAGGATTATTGATTTGAATGTACAAATATTTATATTTGCATTCAATCAATATTTTATTTTCTTAGTTGCTTTTTAAATAAAATTGTAACAAAAAAAAAAATAAATAAATAAAAAGTTAAGTATATATACAGTTTTAAAGATTATAATAAAACAATATTAGTTTTAAAAACTTATTTAAAACCAGCCGAAAAATTTTTTGAACTAAAATTACGATTATCTTAATATAAATTATATTTAATAGATATATCAACATTTTGAATTTTAAGAATTGTTGAAAGGCAAAAGTGCAAAAAGTGTTTTTTTTTAAATTTCATTGTTATTAATAAATAACAGAGTTATAATTTGGTTGAAAACCAAGGTTTTTAGTTATACACAATGGGTGAAAGTTTTAAAATGGTGCGTTCACGCAATAAATATCTGAACAATTAAATCTTTGAAAACACTCACATATAAAATCTTTGCATCCAAATCTTAGCATTACACGACTTCATTGGTTTGCTTTTTATTAAGCAATAACAATATATCTTTGCAACACCTTAGTAAGACTTGGTGATAAAGGATATCATTAGCTAATTTAAATGTTCACTGCTGAAAACACTGGGATAGATTTTGGAAATATGGGATTCATTTGAAGTGGAATATGTGTGTGGTTAAGGCGTTCTGATACAAAAACTTTTCAAAAGGTAGATAATATGTATAACGGGATTGTACAGTGGATACTCGTCACAACGCATTCCGATATGAACAGTGAGCTACAAAAATGCAGTCTTTGAGAACGTATGTATGACATCCCAGACTTGAAAATTTTGGTAAAACTCGATGAAGAAAAAACTTTGCATATGTTAAAAGCGCTATTGATTACATTGCTAAGTAAGGCTGTAGGGATTGACGGCATTTCTCCCAAAGTCCTTAAAAATGTTTAAACATTTAATACCCCTGCCTTACATTAGATTCTCTCTCAATGTTTTGGGGGAAGCAGGTCAAATTGCCCAGTACCTGAAAGACCCCAATATCGTTCAGTGTACGAAAAGTTAAGGTGGCCGTAATGATTTTGTTCTTTCACTTTATTTGAAAATATTTCATCCACGTAGCCCTTACGCCATGGCAGAGTCTTGATAACAGCATCTACCCTGAGTCCGAGTGTTGCTTCCGAATTTTGTCATTAAAAATGTATACATGATATTCATGTCACATCTTTTTTCAAGAGAGGTGTGTGTGTAGAGCCTAGTCCTATGCATGAAATGTAGAATTCCGATTGAGGCATTCGTCTTGTAAGGCGGATACGCCTTTTCAGAATCTTGCATAATATTTATTGTCCTTCAAGACTCTAATGTTACGAAAACATGCTCAAACCAATAACCTTCAATGGCGCAATCTCTGTTGTATTCCCAGTGAGAAGCTGCATGAAACAAGTTTGCGTACTTCATCATTTTCTTATTACTGTTTCTAAAGCTTGTTTACAGGTATTGTGAAGATGCAGTGTAAATCCATAACAGCACTGATTGTCGGAGGTTGAATATCACTCGCATTCATGGAAAGACCAAAAACAAAAAAAAATAGCTATTTTGGGAACCGGTGCTTGCAGATAATGCACATATACAAGAGTAGACAGAAGAACGTCCTAAACAATTATTTCATCCCCTCTCCTATGAATGTAAATTTTTCGAACAAACCACTAGCCTAAAGAATATAAATGTTATGATGCAAGAAGCACAGCTCCTTTAAATTTGAATGTTAGCAAATGAAAATTTAAACTGCTTCGAGTCCAATATCTCTACCTTGCTCCAAAGTTGTCTACTTCATTGCTTACGTATTTGATGTTAGAACATGGGGCCTTACATAGAACTTTTTGAAATTTACAATTTCGCTTAGCATGCCTTTCGCTTTAAACAAGAGGCACCTTCACTTGTTAGGTCTTGTTACATAAGTATCCGCTGAATGGAGATTTGGCAGTACATCCCTCCTTATGATTGTGGTCAGCAAACTAGAAGAAAGCCAGCAAAATAGCCCAGGAAAAAAATGTGATTGATAGCTTTACGGTGCTCGCACGAAAGCTTTTAGCTTCCTTGTATACATCTGATTCTTTCAAATTCTGTGGCCATGAAATCCAATCTCTAAGCGGAACAAAGGGATAAAGTGCAAAAACAAGATGAATGCCTACCCGATTCATTATAGTACACGTCTTTTTGGATCGTTTCCGCTTTGCTAACAAACAACGCAATGAATCTGTCCCATTTATAACCGTAGCCAGGGGGGTAAATGCAACAGAGCCCAGTGTAAAACATTAAAAAAAAATTGTATGCATAATTAGAAGCAATACTGGCCGCCTTCAAAATGTGCGAATACGTCTAGCAAAGAGACAAACTTCCCGAATATAGCAGTCTTCTCTGACACATGCTTTTCCCTCTAATCAAGTTGAGGTGACTCAACATGTTATGGCTGATAAACTTGCGCAACAACGTGCGGCACAACCCCAACACAAAAAGCCTAAAAGCACAAAAAGGTGGGACTTCAAGGTGACCTAAAACAGCATTTCCAAGTGGAGTTGCTCAAAGGCCGGTCATTTGGTAGCGATGTACGACTCCTGTATCAGCATATGCAAAGACCTATCAAAATTAAACCCTAGTGGAAACTAAAAAGACACGAACAGAGTCAAATAATACAATTGACGACTGACCACTGTGCAGGATGCAGTTATCTCTATAGACAAGATTCGCTAAAGAGTCTTAAATGTGGACTATGTCATCTAGTTACTTAAACGATGGAACATCTGTTGGTCGGCTGCCCTGAGATCAGAGATGTCACATTCATCTTGTGCCCTTTAGGAACATGTGCATTGCTACCTAGAGTCGGTCGCACCAGTCATGTGCAAAACAAAACAGAGAATGAGAGCCAATGCGATTCCGATGATTAAAATGGTCTTGATCAATTTCAACAGACAAACTATTATAGAAACTATAACAAAATCAATGAACGAGACTTCCATGAGAGATAATCAATGTTTGTATTAAAAACATTTCTTCTCATTCAAGCACAGGATTTTTAAAAGCTTTACAAAATATGTGATGGAGAGAATTATATGTATTCAAAGACAGCTTAAAAGTCACTAGAGACAATGTCGTCTTTACAATTAAATTTGTTTCGGCATAATAAGCGCTCCTAAAATTAGTCTGCACGCGTATATAAAGATATCGTTTGCTTTTGTGCAGTGGCCTATAAAGGGGTGGTTGGGTTGTGGTGCACTCCGGTCGGTATTGTTTCTTTATTATTAGAGGTGACACTTTTGGCCTCCCAAAGAGGATATTTTTTTTTTCTTTTGGTGCTACGCAACTATCTGCATGGGTGGTATTATCTTTACAATGTAATCAATATACATGACTTAAAGCTAGTTACGCTTATATAAATAGACCAACAAATGTAAATTTATATTAGTTGATTGACGGCACATCAAGGACTAGATACAGAACCTCAAAATTTAAGTTTTCAATAGGTGAGGAATTGGATTATTTCAATCAGTGTTTCTTAAACATATTTTTTTAAAGTAAGTTTGTCATTGTTTTTGTAGGAACGTTGCTTAAGTTTTACATGTCTTTTTAAAGTTTTATTTATTTCTATTACAGAGACAGTCGCCATGGGAAGGATATGTGTGCATTACATTTTATTTCTTACATATATCATTCTTCCTGATGTGAGAAGTGAGGGTAAGTTAAGGTGTATATAACAATGTATTATTTGTGTACACATGTTTGTGTGGAGTATATTTTCTTTTTAAATCAATGGACTTAAACAAATACAAAAAGGAATATAATAAAATGAGAACACATGGCATGTGTATTTATGTATTGATTTTTGTTTCATCTCGACTGATGTTCTCGTTACACGCAAACCGTTTTAAATTGATCATCAGAAATTCTTGATGTGCTTCATACGTTTAAAAAGATGTTCACACACATATGTGTTTGCAAATAGGAAACCATCGACACAGCATGGATGAAAATATCCAAATTTGTCCAAAAAAAATCTTATAGAAAACTTCAAAACAAACTTGGCATTTCTTCTTTAACTTTGTATTAAAACCAATTTCAAAATGTTCAATCATATAGTTAATAAATTCACGTCTACAGTGAATGATGTTGCCAATGCACACACAAAAAAAATGATCTTTTTTTTTTTTTTTTTTAACCTCCTAATCGGCTTGTCAAATTCGAGGCTTTCATCATGTATCAAAGAAGCATATTGATTAAACCAAATTCAAAATGTTCAATCATATAGTTAATAAATTCACTTTTACAGTGAATGATTTTGCCAATGCACACACAAAAAAAATGATCTTTTTTTTTTTTTAACCTCCTAATCGGCTTGTCAAATTCGAGGCTTTCATCATGTATCAAAGAAGCATATTGATCGGTCGCATCCATTGTGTCCTTCAGGTAGCAATGACTATGTTGGAAAATGTGTACAGTTTTTTTTCCTAAACTGTTGTTCCCAAAGACCAAGTTTCATTGGAAATGTCCAAATATTATCACAATTTTTTAATTAACAATTATTTCCCTTGTAGAGTAATATTTACTTCATTTAGGTGGCTAGGGATATCGACCATTAATAAAAAGTCACAAACCAACTGTTTGTCTTCAAACTCTGTGTTTTTATATTTGTATATGTTGTTGAAAATCAAACCCTCTTTTCGACATTTTAGAACGGTAAGCCTTCTTACTCCTGAACAAATTTAAAAGTCATTAATAATGTGTCTAAAGATTTTAGAAATCATTAATGAATAATGCAATAAACATTTTAGCATTAAATAATTACGACTTTGGAGGCCTTCATTTTCATCCCTTTCACAAAACCTTCGGATTTTACCCCCAGTGTTTGAGCACCATCCAAAGGTGTAACAAAAAGCAATTGAATGTCGCTATAACTGCCTCTAACAAATCTCGTGACTCTGTGTTGTCCTTAAGTGGATACTACGCCGCTAATTCTTCAGTCTTTTAAAAATGGACATAAGCACGCCATATAAAAATTGTCAGTTTGGCTGTATCTGACTTATCTGTGTTTTCATTCAATGCTAGAGCATAAAATACACATGCTGATTATCGACTTTAATAAATTATCCTCAATCTATTTTCCAATGTAATCCACATGCACTGTAAAAAAATTTTCAAGAAAAAATGCTGGTGAATTAAAACAGGTCTAAACCTATTAATTAAAAACAAATGCGATGTATTTCAAACTCCCGCTAGCTATAATTTAAAACTATATGATATGAACGCCTCATGATACAATGTTCTTTAAACGATATGTACAATAAAGTTAACGTTTTACCTAGTGTATTAAGATGACTATTGGCCAGCCGCATGCGGGCCACAGACGACATGTTCCACCCCCCTGATCTAATAGTTTTTTTTAAATCCTTCGAAAAAGTTTTAATTTTTTTCTAAAATGACTGTTATTTCATATATGCTTTTAGTTGCATGCAACTGGACAGATGCCATTCCGTCTGAAGGTGCATGTTTCCTGTACAAGGCAACACGTCTTTCCTATGCAGATGCCAAGGTAAATCAGGTGTCTTTTTCTTGTTTTCTTTCTACGAATACTTACATAAGAGTATTCTCATCAGGTGTATGGAATGCAGGACATGAAAAACATATTTGCTTGGGTAAAAGATATAAAAGATATTGGTAGCTCCCACGACGCCACAGGACGTGCCTTATCTGGTTTAGCAGTTGTGATTTTAATAAAAATAATTCAATTTTTTTTTTTGTTAAACAAAGCTTATTTAGATTACAAGAAGTTTGTTTCAACATAGATAGTAGATGTGAGGCTTCTAGCCCAAATGGGTTTGGTTGATGTTATATTTATTTGTTTTTCTTTTAATCTTCTTTTTTTTCGTTAATCTATTTTTGTTTGTCGATTCCGCTATCAAATGCATGACAGTAAGAAAGAAATGAGAAACTATACACACATATATCAACTAAATGCTAAAGAGAAAAAACACTGCGTCATTAAAGGTCATTTGAATAAAATACAGAATAATAAATTCAGTATAAAATATGTCTACTTCAGGTTTCATGTCTATCACTTGGTGGAGTTCTGGCAAAGGTGACGACCAAGACGCAAATGCTTGAGATAACCAAAAATCTAAATTATGGTAAGTCATACTTTATAAGCAGTTGAATTATTATTCTGTCAACGTTTACCCGAAAATTTATGTTGCTGTCTTTAACACAGTTGATGCACAGTCTGTGTTGACATCCTCTGGGCAATTAAGCTGGAGTCCTTCCTATTTTAAGCTTGCATCGCTGGTTAATTGACATCATTAGAACTGGCTGGACGATCTGATTCATTCCTCTTGTAAGATACGGTGCCTGATTCAAACTGCACAATATAGTTATAAAGTGGTATTTTATCGTCTTTAAAAAAAATATTTTTGATAGTTATTTATCCGATCTTCAGCGTTATATCCCAAACTCACTGGTTAGGTTTGAAATGAAAAGACTATTTATTAATATTTTATTAAAATTTTTAATTCTTTCATATTGTCTTAATGCGCGAGGTTGAAAAAAAGAGGTGTCGGGCTATTCTGTAGCTGTGAACATTAGAAATCTGCACTTGTTTCTGTCATCATTTCATTCCATGTTTTTTTAGCAATAGTATATATACCACCTAGAATTCATATCTCCCAGCCTTGACGGGAACTGAAATTTTTCACTGAAAGTTATGTCCAGTTTATTTCGAGACGCCGTTTTTACACATCACAAAAAACAAACGATGCTAATAAATATTTGCTAGGAAAAGTCATAAGAATTGACTGTTATTGTAAATGAAGTAAATTTTCCAGTTATATTTACTTAATCCGTTTGCCGTCTAACTTATATAAAGTTATAAGCAAAGTTTGGTATAATTTTATTTATTTTACTTTAAAATAATTACTGTCAAGAATGGTTAAAACATTTAAAGCGTTTCGTAAACTTAATTTTTCAGACCACTTTTTCTTTAATTGAGGGATTAACTAAATTTGTAATCTTAAACAAACTAATCATCATTTTAGGTTGATTTTCTCTCCCTTCACCTTTTGTTTTTTCACACGATTTAAACGCATTTTGAACATAACCAATAAATGACTTGTTACTTTTTTAAAGTGTTCTTATATGTATATAATTTTATTGATTCAACAAAAATTTTGATGTGATTAATGAAGAAAAGACTGAGATTTTCCTTCATATTTATATATATCAATTTATTTAAGTATTTTCTTTAAAAGTGTTCAAGCATGCACTAGATGTTTCGTAAAAAAACTTCGAATAAGCAATGTCATGAAAGGAAATAATAACATATAAATGTGTCGTTTTCAGTATTCATTCCCTTATTAATTTAAAATCAACTCTACAAAAAATGTCTCCTACATTTAAAATGATAATTGTCTCTTGATACTTTATTGATTTCTATTACACTGGAGACATTTTTTTTTTCTTCTAAATATTTACACATTATTTTGTTTAATTATCTTTTTTAAAAAAATAATAAACAGTTGTGCCTTGAAGAAATCTGTGTTTTTATTTTAATTATTAATATACTCGAATAAGTTACCCGATTATTATCAGGATAATAATGGTAGGTCCTTTGTGATAATTTGTACTTGCTTTTGCAAAAACTCCTCACAATTCCTAAATATTAAAAAGAAGTGTTTATATAAGGATATTTACGTTTCTACCATCATTACGTTTTGAGAAGTATTTGTCTGCTATTTATTACATGCATGTTCTAATTCCTCCTATGCCACTAAACAACTTTTTACATTCTAACATCATCTTAAATTACCAAATCTAAAGTATAACTAATTATATCACTTTTTTTCACTAAGTGAGTTAATTAAGGGACGATTTCTACGTCAGAGAAATGCTTTAGATTTACCCCTGAATTACAGTTTTAATTTTATCTAAAAATTCTTAATTTTGACAATTTTAAATTTAAAGCTAAACTCTATTATATATCATATAAAAATATTTGAAAGGAATTTGATATTAATATCTTCATCAAAAATGTAAACACTATTTTACCTTGTTTTTTTTAAATCAAAAATTATCGAAAAATCGTAATACAAAAAATTATTTTATCTAAAGAAGAATCTCTCAACCATTTTTCAAGTCTATAACAGAATTGTGTGCCTTTAAAAAAAAAATGTTAATCTCATAAAAATACACGCCCACTTTATTTTTCGCAAATAAAAAACCTAAATATATTTTTTTTAAAAAAGGAAAATATGAACTCTATTCCATTTTTCAAAATTAAATTTTCAAGTGTGTTTTATATTCATGGGCATACTTATATAAGGGTATGTACCCACGTTTTGTTAACGCCATTGATTTTTTATTTGTAAATAGAGAATGTAACATCTCTTTTTTCTCAAATATAATACCCTAGAATTAAATATATTGTTATCCACGTACAAATGTACACATTCTATTTCCTACATCCGATAAGTATGTTTCCCAGAAGGTTAATTATTTATCAACTTAATGCCTTTATTTTAAGACATATCTTGTGCTGCTTGGGGCAAAATGACCACCCTCCCCCAACTTTCCCAGATGAAAATAAAATTAATAAAATCTTCTACTGGATTGTATTCCCTTCTATACCCAAAATAACATATTGTGCACTTCCTACTGTTTGTATCCGTCCATGCTTCAATTTGTTTTATTAGGACAACGGACAAGAACTAAATGGATATTCATTCTCCTTTCCACGTAGCCTCAATTTAATATTTTATTGTGAATAAAAAAGCATATCCTCACGTCTAATTAAATAATAAATGTCAGCTATTTTTTTTTTCTACCCCTATACGTTTTTTGTATTGCCTAATACAGCTTAATTTTTAAATATGTAAAAAAAAAAAAAATTAATAAAAAAAAAAAAAAAAAAAAAAAAAAAAAAAAAAAAAAAAAAAAAAAAAAAAAAAAAAAAAAAAAAAAAAAAAAAAAAAAAAGCCAATGCGATTTAGGTGACAAGTCTTTGGTAGAAGTTGAAAATAAATACAGCAGTGATGAGATAAGATTGTCTGCACTTAACTACCAGAACACTATATTGAATTTGGAAATGTATTTTGACCATCGTGCAAGTGAAATAACGGTAAGAAAACGGTGGAGTGGGATACTGAGTATATAACTGTTATATTTGATGTTGATGTTAAAGTAAACGAAATAGAAAGCGATATCAAAAGCATCCACAAAATATTGACAGTTTTAGACGAAACAAATGTAATAGAAAACTGAAAACTGAACTAATTTGAATACATGGTACAATTATGTACTTTTAGATATATAGTAATTTATAATATACATAAATTTGATTCATACCACATATATATATATTTAAATTGCACTTTTAAAAATTATATAAAACATAACTAGTATATAATTAATTTGTTAATATGAAAATGCACTCTGTGGATAGACAATTTGACATTTGCCAGTCAACGTTTTTTTCCTCTAATTACTTTAGCTTGAGAAAAAATTGTAATAAAATAGGCGATGAAATAATTTGATTGGTCCCAAAGATTTGGAGCTGGTATTCACTTTTTTTTCTCTGAACCCCTATTAAATGTAAATAATAAATCTTTCAGTTGCTACTAACTTTCTTTTAGTTAAACTCATTAATGTTCATATACGAGAATGTAATAAATATATTATATTTTAACTGCAGGGAGGTAAGCGAGAAATTGTAATTGAGAAAAGTGTATTTGATTATCTCACCTATACTTTAAGGCAATCAATATAAATTATTCAAAATAAAATGTAAACTAACAAATTGACGACTAACATAATGAATATTTATATATTATGTACCAAAGAAATATAAAAAATTAATTAAATATGTTATACAAGTCGTTCGTTTCATTTCAAGATACTTTTTTTTTTGTAGTTTGCCTAAGGCATTGGAAAAAAAAACAAAAAAAACATAAAGAGTTAAGTTAAATTATAATAGGATAGTGTGCTTTTATCGTCTCTTTCTTGAACAGTAAAACGGATTTTGTTTCTTCATAACTGTTAACTACATTTGCTGGATAAGTGCTTACCAGCTTTTATAATCATATACCTAATATATTAATACAATAAATATCACATCTCCCATAATTTAGGTGTAGTTTTGTATGCCTATATTGTCATCTTTTTAAAAGAAAAGAAAAATTCGGTTTATTTCAAATTGTTTTAAAAATCAATTCTATCTACTGAAAGAAAATTTATTAAAATGATTTTAACAATTGTAAATTGTCTATCATTTGTGGTTGCGGCAACTGGTCTTAGTAATATTATAACACTTTTAGGTAAGTAAATTGAACACATACAAATCAATTTTTTTCTACAATAATCTAAATATCTTTAATAATAGAACTTAAGCACAAAATTATTCCTTTTATTCTCTTAATATATGTTGAAGTCCAAATACAACTTAGTAAGTATCGTTAGCATACAAATATTTAATTTTAATTTTATACAAATTAATGATAAACATTTCAAAAATTTTTGTATTGACGTCTCAATAGTAATAGAAAAAAAAAAGAAATAGAAGACTTACTTAAAACGTATCTTCCTTTAAGGGGTAGTAAAAGATTATTTGCAAAAATATACATTTTATAAAACAATTATTTCCAACATTAGTAAGAAGAGTAAATGACCTCCTCTAAATTTTTAACTATTTTTTGGGTTCTGGTTCTGGTTCTGGTAGTGTTTGTTGCTGCATCCACATTCTGGCATCTGTGCAACGGTTTGGGGAATGATGTTGCTAGTCTAACAGCTCCTAGCTGATGCCAGGGCAACCTGAAGCTTTCGACCGAATTCGAGTTCATAGTGGCATTGTCCAGGTGGTTCCATGCTATTACTGTGCGTGAGAAGAAAGATTGTTGATACTGCGCTGTGTTGCACTGAGGAACTTTGAAGCATTTGCTATTGTTTCTGGTCTAATTGTTTATGGCAATGTCAGTGGTGAAGTCAGTGTTCAGTGAGCATTTTGCTCTGATCAGTCTACCCGGCTCCTGCGGGGTGAGGTACGTGCCTGCTGGGATGGCCGGCACCAGTCCCATGATCACTTTATATTGTTAAATTTTGAATATATTATTAAATAGCTTCAGTGTAAGTTCATCGAAATTCTTATTTATTGTAGATTCAGCCTAAGTCTGACTGGATGTTAGTCGCAATGAAATTGGCATTTTTGTCTCTTGAAATTAAATAAAGTTTTAATTACCGAAGTTTACAATACTAACGATCTAATTATATTACAAGTTAGTCCTGTATCTGATTTATAAAATGTATAACAATAAACAGAAAAGAAATAGAGGAGAGCTGTTCTGTACTTTGTTTAACAAACATCACGCTTTCCTCTATTTTTTTTTCTGATCAATATATCTTGGCTGCGTTTATGTGTTTAAATAACAAAATCACACCATATTTACTAAACAAAAATGGATACTTATTCGGATTTATTGAAATGTATACATCATACATATTTTTGCATGCAAGGTTACATGAAAAATTACAACATAAGATTACATTTTCAGGCAAAGCAAATAATTTTACCTGTGCCAAAATATACATTACAAAGGATTAGATATTACATGCTCTACACAAAGGATCTATCCTGATGGGAAATGCAACTTTCTTGTCTATTTCACTAAAGTAAGATTTGCTTCCCCTTCATTTACACTTATCACAATGATTCTATGTATGCTTTCATCTTGATCTTTTTTTTTTAATCACAACACTGCTACTATACATTTACAAGGTACACTTTTTTTTTAAACAGTCCTTAGTAAATTACACACACGCCACACCAGAATTCCATAAGAAACTTCCTTGCGGCCCACCGTATTTCACAACAAACTGTTCTATAGCCATAACCTCCGCAAGTCTAAAATTCGGAAGGTATGCTGTTATGTTAACATCTTTCCAAATATTCACAATGCATACAAAGATATGCAGTGTGGAAATAATTTCATGCATGCTCTTTTATTAGGCAATCACAGCTCAAGTGACTTTCCAATTTATCTTCGCTTCTTCTTAGAAACCTCAAAAGTAAAATTGTATGTTACCCTTTTTGAAAAGATAAACGCAAATATCTATAATTCCAATATGCTTTTTAATATTTAATCAAATTAAATAAACATGTATCTATAAGTTAAGTCATTAAATATTATTTAAACATTTTAGAGTCTAGAGTTTTACAATCTAGTATTTTTTAAATGGTTATTATCATGTTTGTAGGAACTTTTCTTAAGTGCATATGTCTTTATAAGATTTAATTATTTCTAGTACAGAGACAGTCGCCATGGTAAAGACACGTGTGCATTACATTTTATTACTTACATGTATAATTCTTCCTGATGTGAGAAGTGAGGGTAACTTAAGGTGTATATAACAATGTATTATTTGTATACACCATTTGAGTGGAGTACATTTTTAAAAAAAAATCAATGGACGTAAACAAATACGAAAAGGAATATAATAAAATAAGAATACATGGCATGTGTATTTATGTATTGAGCTTTGTTTGATCTCTAATGATGTTGTCGCTACATGCAAACCATTATCAAAATGAACATTAAATATTCGTGATGTGCTTCATTAGTTGTAAAAGATGTTCACACACATATGTGTTTGCAAATAGCTATACCATGGGTAGATAATTTTTTTTTTAAATATCCAAATTAGTCAAAATATGTCTTATAGCAATGTTCAAACCAGCTTGGTGGAATTTGGTGTTTAAATTTGTACTAGAGCACATTTCAAAATTTGTATTCTAATTGCCGTTCACAGCTAATTACGTTGCTAAAGCACACACACAAAATATGCTCTTGTTTTCAAACCCGTTATTGTTTTTCCAATTTGATGTTTCAATCATTTATAAAAGTAACGTTAGATCATTCGCATCCTGTGTAACCCCTGATTGCAACGACATGTAGGAAAATTTGTAAAGTTTTTGTCCAACAGAAGATGTAATTATTCTATGTTCCCAAAGACCAATTTTCATTTGAAATTGGGAAATATAATCAGACATTTTATTAATTAAATTATCTTACACTTGTTGACGAGTGTTTACGTCATTTAGGTTGCTATTTATATCGACAACAAATTCAAAGTCACAAACTTAGTCTTTGTCTTTAATCTCTGCGTTTGTATGGTTGTATTTCTTGGTGCAAATCAAACTCTCTTTTCAACATTTTAGAAGGGGTCAGCCGTCTTATTTTTGAATAAATTTTAACGACATTAAAAGTTTAGAAATTCTTGGAATTGAATTTTATTTTACCCACTTGACTTAATGAAGATACTTATTTTTTTAACGAACATTTGTCGGACTTCGATCATAAATTCTCCTGATGAATAATACAATAAAAATATAGCATAGAAGTATTACCACCTTAGGAGACCTTATTTTCCATCAATTTTCCAAACATTCGTGTTCCACAACCACTGCTGGAGCACCATCCAATGTTAACCCCATAAATTTTAAAATTTTGACAAAAAGCAATTCAATGTAAATGTAACAGCCTCTAAAAAACGTCATGACCTAGTAGTGTCCTTAAGGGGATATATTGCCGCTAATTCTTATGTCTTTTTAATAGGGATTTCAACACCCCAGATACAAAATTTCAGTTTAACTGTATCTGCCTGTATCGGTGCTTTCATCCGAAGCTAGAGCATAAAATATAAATGTGGATGATCGACCTTAATAAATAATCTTCAATCTAGTTTCCAATGTCGTTCACATACACTGTGTATACATTTTAGAAAAAAAAGCGTTAATTAAAATATGTCAAAATCTATGAATTTTAAAAAAAAAATTCGATATACTTCAAGTTCCTCTTAGCTATAATTTAAAACTGTATGATACGAACACCTCATGATGCGATGTTCTTTAAAAGATGTGTACAACACAGTTAACATTTCTGTTCATTTGACCTAGCTCAGCGTGTATTAACATGACTAACGGCCAGCCGCATGCGGCCCGCGAGCCTCAAGTTCCACCTCTGATCCAATAATTTTTTTTTTTAAATCTTTCAAAATCTTTTAAAATTCTACTACAATAACAGTAATTTCAAATATGCCTTTTAGGTGCGTGCAAATGGACAGATTCCATTCCGTCTGAGGGCGCATGTTTCCTGTACAATGCAACAGAACTTTCCTATGCAGAAGCCAATGTAAGTTTGCTGGTTTTTTTCTTGTTTTATTTCTATTACTACTACTTGCATAAATGTATTCTTTTCAGATGTAGTGACTGCAGTACATAAAAAAAAAATATATTTGCTTGGGTAAAATATATAAAAGATAGGGATAGCTCCCGGACGCCAAATGACGTGCTTTTTCTAGTTTAGCAGTTGTGATTTAAATACACATGTTTCAATTTTTTTGTAAACACAGATTATTTAAGTTACCAGAAGGTTCATAAACACAGCTGTGTTTATTTCTTTGTGTTTTAATATTCTTTTTTGTTAACTTTTTTTTTCTTCGATTTTGCCATCTATTGGATACAAATAAGATAGACATGAAAAAATAATGACAAAAATCAAATCAACTAAACACTATTGAGTAAAAACTCTGCATCCTAATATGTCATTTGATTAAAATACGGAATTATAATTTCTATATAAAATATGATTGCTTCAGAGTTCATGTCAATCAATTGGTGGGGTTCTGGCAAAGTTGAAGACCATGACGCAGCTACTTGAGGCAATACAAAATGTACCATATAGTAAGTCATAGAATAAGGAGATGAATTATTTTCCTGTTAACGTTTATCCGGGAGGCGTCACGATGAGTTACAGTCCGTGATCCCCCGCTAAGTTCCTGCTAAAATGTATGGTGTTGTCTTTTACACAGTTGAGGCACAGTCTGTGCGGTAATCCTCTAGTCCTTAAACTGGGGTCCTTGCTACTTTAAGCTTGTAGTGTTGGTTCATTGACATCATAATGACTGACTTGCCGCTCTAATTTATTTCCTCCTATGAGATGTAGTGCAATATTCATACCGCACCAAATGATTAAAATGTGGTATCTGCTCGGCTATAATAAATCATTTCAAACAGTTGTATACTTTATGCCCAGCCTTATATTCATCGCTCAATGGTTAGGCTTCGAATGAAAACATTCTTTATTTAATTTTTTTAAAATTATTATTTTATATTTTATTTTTTCGCGGGGTAGGAAAAAGGGGGTGGGCTATTTTGTAGCTGTGTACAATAGCAATCAGCGCTTGTTTCTGTCATCATCTCCTTCCATTTTACCGTCTACAGCATCTATAACTCCTTGAATTTTTATTTCCAAGCGTTGACTGGGCATGTTTTCACTGAAATTTATGTCCAGTTTGTTTCGACAAGCCGGTTTTAAACATCATAATTAACATAAATGCTGATAAATGTTTGCTAGGAAAAGTCATACAACTTGGCTATTATTGTAAATGAAGTAAATATTCCAGTTATTTTTATGTAATCCTTTAGCCGTCTTACCTTATATCCTTTCTTTGACATTTTAATGTATCTTATTTAACGGTTCTCTAATCTACTCCTCTAAGTTTCAAATGTAACAAAGTGTTTTGACAACTTCCTATCAAATGTAAAATACCCTAATAAAGTTTGAGGTTTTACCGTTTGAAAATCTATGAATCACTATATATTAATTAGTCATTTCTCTCTATATGAGTTGGTCATTCTTTCTTATTTTATTTGGTAATTTCTCTTTATACTAGTAGACTTTTCTCTCTTTGCTGGTCACATGGTCACCCTGACCCGACAGCAAAAGCCAGAGTTTCCCAAAATTGTAAAAGAGATTGGTTATAAAAATGTGTAGCATTCTGTCTTGATCTGTTTATAATTGCTTTCACTTATCAATTTTTTTTTCGTGTTCATACGTCTTGATCAAAATGAATGAAACGCAATTTTTTTTTTTTATAATTTAATTGCAAATTTTAATCCAGAAATAAAAATGAATCAAACACAAGCAATATGTAGCTTGATATAAGTAAAATAATATAGTACGACCTTTCTTCACAACTGTTTCTCATCAACATGCTTAGCTAATTGCATGTGTACCAAATAAATATTACGAACACGACGTCAAGGCTACAACAATAACATGAAATATAAGACTTACGCCCAAAGGCGGTAGAAGCGTACACACCGTGCACAATAAAACACAATATTTGTATCGCAACAATTTCTAATGCATACCGATAAGCGACGCCCTTAAAAGTCCAGCGACCCCCAACCCCATATTTTCTCTGCTACTGGTTGTACAGTGGAGAGAAAGAGGTTTAGCTGTATTAGACAAGATATCGCACCAATAAAAATGTATGTCTATTGACTCCAAACAATCTACCAAGTACAGTAGGGTGACCAATCATCCCGTAAAAACGGAATTGTCCCTTAAGCTAGTTAAGTTTATTATAAGGGGGGTGGGGTGGTTGATTTTGTTTTTGTGAGTTGTTCATGGTGATGTCAGAGCGTGAAGTTGTTCGTGTTGTTGAGCTTTAGGTTATGCTGAGTGTTTTGCCAGGATATAAAGGGAAATGTTTTAGTTAATCGATAGTTAGGAGGTGAGAGAAGCGAGAACATCGAGAGTTGTATTAGTCGAAAGTCCAGAGGAGATCGTCTCTTGTTTCCCAAAGATAGGATTTTTTTTTCTGGGGCAATGAATTTTGTAGCAATTGTGTTTTTATAAGAATTGGATGTTTTAATTCAGTGTTTGAGTTATTTGACCAAAAGAGAGAGTAGAATTAATCCAAAAAGTCTGACATAAGTTTAGAGATAAAGTATTCCCAATCGGAGGTAGTACATAAACGAAAGATAGCCGTAAAATTTGAATGATTAATTGACAATTAAAGAATTCTTGTATGTATTGACACTGCAGCAACTTACATATGGATCGGTGCAAATGATATTAGTGTAGAGGGAACATGGATGTGGGAAGACGGCGGTGTTGCTACTGAGTTGAACGAGCTTTGGTATAATGATGAGCCAGACAACGGAACGGACCATGACTGTGCGGACATCTATAAATACTTTACTCTATCGGGACTTTATGATGACGTGTGTAGCAAGCGATGTCCTTTTCTGTGCATGGAGAAAGGTACTTCATTTATTAAAATATAACATTGGATTTTTCTTTAACATTACTTTAAAAAAGCAATAAATCAGTACAAAAACACCACATGGGGATAAAAATGTTCAATATTATAACAACCTAACTTAGTTGATGGATAAATTTACTTGAACAAATCTAAAAAAAATATATTTTTTCAAAGTTTAGAACAACATAAAGTATTTCTGGTCAAATAAAAGTTCTTTTTTTCAATCAGAATGCCGGTTTTTGCCCAATGTTGTATGAGTCTATTGCTCATTTCAAACGACAAAATGTGCGTCGAATTTTGGTCATTTTTTTTTTTTTGGACGCATTAAGCTGTACCAAAATATGTTGGGTCCAAAAATAATTTTGACGAAAATTTGACGAAAATTTAATTGTGTGATAAGAGCAACAATATTGTATTACACAAACTCGAGTTACATATTTAACAAAAATTCAGTCGTGTGCGTTTAAATGAGATGATCTAGCACTATTTCAGACAAGATATCTGACACGTTTCACCAGGGACCGATTCAAAAGAAACTTAACATTTATTTCCACATACTTGACAGATGAGATCACAACTCTATGTCCGGAGGCTTCAACATTCAAAACAAACTCCCCTCCTACAACTGAACTTACAACAAACGAACTTGCTGCAACCGAGCCTACAGCAAAGGCGATCTTAACCTCTACGTCAACTGCACAGTGCTCAAACAGGGGCACATATGTCATGGACTTTAATGTTCTATTTTTATTGCTTTTTTGCATTGTCACTTACCTTGTTTTTTGAAGCAATGTTGATTTTTGTGACTGTATTCATTTTTATTGAAATCTTGAACTCACTTTTCCTTTAGCAGATATTGAAGCAAAATTTTCTAAGGAATAAATGGCGCGTTTGGTGTGCACACTTTCTATTATTTAGTTGTTTTATTTTAGTGTTTACTTTTTTTTTGATTTATTCGCTTTTTTATTCTCTATCAGAAATGATTTGCTAACTCTGTGGGATTTTTTTTTTTAAATCGGGTAATAAAATAATAAAGATATTATTTACATTAGAAAAATAATGACAATAGATGAATATACGTAGCTAAGTTTTCATCTCCAAATTAATTCCTTTAAACTGATTGCGAACCGTTCCGAAATTAGTATCAGTCTATATTGTGTAATTAAATGTTTTCGAACTTAATGATGTCTAGGGGGTACTAATGAAATAGAAGCTAAACATTATACTATTTTTACTTTAAAATAATTAATGACAAGAAAGATCTAAAAATTTAATTCATCCTGTAAACTTAATAATTTTTTAGAACCATTCTTTCCTCTGACCGATAAACGATCTTGCTGGCTGCCGTCAATGGTTTGCCTTGTAAAAGTTCTTGGGTGGGGTGGGTGAATATACATTTTTTTTTTGCTGTTCTTCATTTCATAAATGTATTTTATTTTAATGTCATGATTATGTCTCATTTGGTAATATTTTTATGTACAGGGCTGTGAGCGCAGCCCTAACCTGGGGTACCGCGCTATATAAGTCGACTAATTATTATTATTATTATTTGCGGGCTTGACTTATTTTGAGATCTTAAACAAGCTGTTCACTGAGATTTTCCTTCACATTTATTTCTTTGCATATTTTATTATCTTATTTAAAAGTTTGAGTAGTTTTACCTTTCTTTTTTTAAAGGAATAAACTTTTAAGGTTTCTGCGTTTTTATTTTAAGTATTATTATAAGTTAGTTTATTATGTGTTTGTGTTTGTATAGCAGTTTGGATATTAATTGGAAAAAAATAATAATATTCTTTTACATGCACAGTTAAGATCAAATAAAATGCTGTCAAAGTTAATCAAAACGTTGTGTAAAGCAATGCAGACACTAAAATAATGTCATAAAAACTATCAAACTTCAAGTAAAACTGTTTTAAAAGTGGCTTAATTAAAGCTGATTTAGTAACTTACGCATGCCCATGTGAACTTTGATAAAAAAACAAATAGTTAAATTAACAATAAGAATATTACAATAATAATAACTAACGCACATTGTCTTGTCCGAGTCTCAGATTTCTCTTTAAAGATTCCGGCCAGTACATTGGCTGCCAACTGTATCTGCTGAGCAATATATGAATATAGAAATTTTTCCTTATGTAAGTTTCTTCCGCCACCTTGGACCCTCTCGAAGCATCTTATTTGGGGCATTTGGTCAACACATGCGTTAGTGCATCCGGGGCCAAACTGCAATGCCAGCAATTAGGGCCCTTGTTATCGTCTAAACCAGGGGTCTCAAATTCGCTGCCCACGGGAAATTTGTGGCCCGCAAGACGATATTTTGCGCCCGCTACCTGAATGCAAAATTTAGTGTTAATGCGGCCCGCGAGTTTTCCCCATTCTCATATATATAATGTGACCCTCCGTGACAGTTTCAGTCGAATGTCACCGAATTGTCTAATTCTGATTTGTATTATGTTTGTATGGATTTGGACGTTGATTATAGTGGTAAACCCCGTTTTAACATCGGGTTTTATAACATTTTATGAGACAAACGTGGCTAGTAAAAGTGAGATTTGGAGAAAAGTTTAAACTGTCAATTAGTGAGTAATGCATTTTCCCTACATTTGCTTCTTTCTTCCCATCAATAATTAAATTTAATGTCATGATTATGTCTCTTTTGGTAATACTTTTATGTACAGGGCTGTGAGCGCAGCCCTAGCCTGGGGTACCACGCTATTGTATTATTGTATATTTTCTAAATATTGCCTGCTCTTGCCGACTGTTTTAACATGTTTTAGCTTTTAAATCCTTCATGGAGAAGATGGGGTTGTTGTTCCTGTACTAAGAGATCCAAAAATGACTCCTGGACTTGGCTTTTCTTGTTGATATTACATTGGAGCTGAATTTACTCAACAAGAAGTTACAAGACCAGGGGTAGTTTGTCAGTGTTGCCTATGACAATGTCAGGACATTCTGTACAAATCTTGTGTTATGGTTCTTAGAGAAACCTCTGCCATTTTCAAACATGCAAAGTAACTATGAACACGGGCACACCATTTAGTATTATCTTAGTAGTAAACATACTGATGCCATTGCAAAGCTAAAGAAAGAATTTGATCACATGCTTTTAGACTTCAAAACATCTTTCAACTTTTTGCTGATGCTTTGTCCTTTCATGTAGGAAGATGGCACCGCCCCCAGCCCCTCTTGCGCTTCAAAGTGGCTGATTGATCATCAGGGCAATTCTAAGTTCATTGAGGCGAATGGAACAACAGACAAGCTTGGACAAATTATTAAAGAATATCCCGCCACCTTCCCTAAGATTTCCAATTTGTTCAAGCAGATCATTTCCCTTTTTCGATAGTACTTATCTGTGTGAAAAGCCCATTTCCACTATGTTTTTAAACAAGTCAAAGTTCAGGTCCAAACTTACCGATGAGGATCTTCAAGATATACTGAGGGTCTCAGTTGCTTTCTCACTCACGCCAAAAGTTGATCAGCTGTATAAGAAGATGCACTGCAGGTCTCTGGCAACAAGGAGTAGAGGAAGAAAGTTAAGCTTACTTTTTGAGAGCCCTTGGAGTTTTTATTTGTTATTAACAAAGGTTGAGCAGATTATAGCAGATTTACTTTAATGAATTTCAAATCGCTTTTTGTGGAATACTTGATGCGACCCAGTCTCACCCATACTCTACCTCCTGCGGCCCCCGGATGATTTGATTTTAAGACCCTAGTCTAAACTGTAAAGAAAATGTGCTGATTTGGCAGTTCTCGGTACGCAACTGTTTCACTAGACTATGCTGCCTGCGATTTAACCCTAAACATGGGTCTTGTCTTCTAGAGGAGTTAGCTAAAACGTAACTGTCTGTCGTGCTTTCTGCCCACTACCTTTACCATTTTTTCATTAAATAATCCGCCCATCATTTTTTTTGTTTTCCAGATAGGCTACTGGTACATCTAGCTGAATTTGCGCCGCGCTGGTTTTCACTAGAGTGTCTCCTTTTTTTTGCTACCTGCGTTGTCATTGCTTTAGAGTCACTGCACTGTTTAAGATCCACCTAATTCACCGATTTTGCACACCTCATCTATGATGGCGCCATCTAAGTGCGTTATACACGCTCTCTTTCCAAAGATCTAAAAATCAGTTATTGTGTCGGAGAAGATTATTACATCACATTCCACATATCTTCAACCTCTGCAGAAATTGAGGCACACTTTCCAATTTCAATTGTATAGCGTCATGTTCCAAATCGAAGTTCAATGTTGAAGTCCCACAGGGTCATGAAAAATCCTGTTTATGTGGCCCTATTGTTTAAAGAGGAACAGCGCACCTTACACCGATTTTCTTTTTCACATTTTGGCAGCCGTCCGTGAACACTTTCAATGGGGTATCGGATACCCGCCTATAGTCTACAGGGAAGCCACTTTCTGTACATGTTAAGTTTGCATTTCGTCACTTCTGCATCACTCAATGCCAAATTCAGTAGGGTGTGATGGTTCTGCACATAGCGGAATGTTTTGGGATATTGATCTGTCGTTCTCGATTGTGAGTTTGTAGACATGTCAGATTCCTCTACTTAATGCATAAAGGACGATCGTTTAAGTCGTATACCCGTTACCAAGCTATTTTTTTTTTTTTGCATTTAGAACTACCGTTCCATTTCTTTTTGCCGTCTACAATTTGAAATAACTTAAAATAGTATTACCTCTTACGTTTTCTAATGTCTTTACATTTGGCAAGACTTCAACAGCATCAGTGTGTTTGGTTCCGAATGCCACTCTGATGAATCTCAAGGCCATTTTCTGGAATTTGCCCAAATTTTCAAATGCGGCCTTACTTGGAAACCCGTGACCAGCAGGCTGTAGTCTATTACCGACTTTACACTATTTAGAAACAAGGCTCTATTCGTACTTGCCCATGCTCCTCAAATCGTGCAAGACCAATTATTTACAGCATGTTGAGCTTTGCGGTTGCCTGGGAGCAGATGTCTTGTAGACAATGATGATTTTGCAAATCATCAAATTTGACCCACAAGTAAACCGGTGGCGTGTCCCATTAGAGGGCTACAAGGCCCAATTAGAGCTCAATCAACTTTTTGAGAATAATTTTGCTTTACGTGAATGGCGAATACAACGCCTTCTCGGTGTTAATTTCAATACGCCAAAGCTGCCTCAAACAGACAAAGCCAAAGTGCCTCGCTGTAGTAACTGTTGCAGTCAGTGGACATCTTTACTGGTGGTCCAGATAACTACATCGTCCGCGTACTTTACATCATTAGAAGCTAATAATTGTGGCAAGCCATTTATTTAGGCAAGGAAAACTGTGTCACTGAGGATTGGCCGTTGTAGTAGCCGTCGCTTACAGTTCTCTTTCTGGAGGTTTCAAAGCAAACGTGTGTGTTTATAGTCCGGTTTGTTAAAAACCGGATGTTTACCGGAATGTATTTGCAGTAACTCCAAACCTTTGCATTTTAACAATAAACTGGCCTTCCAGACCATGTCTTAGGCCTTTTGGAGGTCAAAGAATAACGCATTGGTATGATACTTATTTCGTGCCAATTGGTATGAACTTAAGAAGACGGCGCACTTACCTCTTTAAAAATTAATTATCGAGTAAACTTGTACCATTGCATACAATCATAGTTCATGCTTAAAAGATGCACTATACTTCAAACTTTTCGTTAATGTTGATATTAAAATACACAGGACC